GGCCATCATCCCTTCGAGCGACACGTCCTGCCCTCGCCCACGTTTGCTTCCCTTCACAGTCGGCACGATGTCTGTCACCTGCGTGCGTCCTCTCCTCCATACGCAACGTGTTATGTCTAACGGTGCAAATTCTGCGCTTCTTTGCAGACTTTCGTGACTTGCGTTACGTTGTTTTTGTCAATGCCCGCGTCTCTGATCCGCATGTCATCGCGTTGTCATATGCACCGATTAAACACATTCCTCCGTAGGCAGCGTGGCATGTTAGGCTTACATCAGAGTACGTATACCTCGGCGGCTATTGAAGGCGGACGAAGATCAAGTGATCAACGGGCGTGGCAAGCAACTGGAATAGTTGTGCAAAAAATATAAAATATGAATTCCATGCCAGATGCGTTTAGGCGGCGCCTATTTCAAGGCTGGCACGGCCCAAATCTTAGCCTGGCTTTCTAGCCGGCACCAACGCAATTCCCCACTGTCGCTACTGTCAACCGCACCAAGCGATCGATTTCTGGCTGAGTCCACCGAGATTGAGGTCCGCACGCCACGCTCGATCGCCAATCCCGCTACCGCCGCCGCTACCGCCGCTGCTGCTGCTGATGATGACGGCGATGATAATGCGTGCGGGCAGGAATCGAGCTGTGGGGGAGCTGCTTGGGCGTAAGTGGCGACCGGCGTTCCGTCGAATCTGGCGTCCGGTAATGTGACCATTAGTGCCGCGCGCACTCTGCCAATTCCGCAATTGACCCACGTGGCGAGATTGCCCTGACTCGGCTCTCTCGCTCTCTCCAGGCATGCGGGCAAATTGACGCACGTGGCCGGGGCCGCGCTTTTATGTCTGACCGCAGGGTCTGCCGGCGCGAGGGGTTTCTGGAAAAAGCGCCCAAAAGCCACCGCCGCTGTTGGTTATTACCGCCAGCGGTGTGGCGCGGTTGGCATTGGTCCCCGCTGCAAGGAATGGAATGTGCCCGCACCGCACCCCCCTCCTCTGCCTTCAGCCAAGCTCCTGCCCAGTGAAGCGTTCATCGAGCCCCAACGTTGGCACGTGGGCCCGACGTTCCGTGTTTACTGGGCGGGGGGGGGGGGGCTCAGACAAACGGAGAAAAAGACTCCCCCCCGCCCCGCTTAGCCTTAACAGACTGTTGGGGCAAGTGCTGTTAGCGAGCGCCTATGAAGGCCGTCACCGCACACGAGGGGTTGGGTGGCCAGAACCACGCGCGGCCGCCTTTGTCTCCCCAGTGGCGATGTTTACACACCGCACCGGGTACTCGTTTGAGGCTGAGTCGACCTAGGGGAGGCCCAGCACCGGTCCAGATAATTATCGCCACTGGTTGTTGGTGGCCGTGAGCGGAAATCGAACTCGGGTCGACGGATTCGTAGCGCAGCGCGCTGACCGTGACACTGCCACTCAGACACGCAGCATAGACACACACACACACACGATCATTGTTTTGTTTATGCTTTTTGTTTTGGTGCCATTTCTTCAATTGATAATTCATGTTTTATTTTACTTGGTGTAGTAGGGTTTTCATTTGCTTGGTGCGCGTGAGTGTGTTGGGCTCTCTGTCGCTCCGTACATACAGCGTTGTGGGATGCTGTTGGTATATATAAAATGAAAGCATTATTATTTTTATAATCTACGACTCATAGCGCGCCGAAATGCGATAAAAATGGACTTGCGACCGAATCACCAGTCGCCCACAAGGCCACATGCCGGCAGCTCCACGCCTATTTTCTTCCACATATGGCCGACGGCTGATCAGCGATTTTATCCGCTGCCCGATATTAGTGGAGTGCTACAGCGTCGCCACCGCCGCACGGCATTCGCCCGCTCTCTTAGGGAGAGAGGGGCGAGCAGGAGGCACAGAAAGTGCTCGCCACGAATGAACCACGATGCCTCGCCGACGTCGTCAAGGAGCATAGACCATCGCGCCACACCACGGTCATCCTCGCCGCAGCGGCGGCGGTGGCGGCGGCGTCAGCGGCTGTTGGCTATCCAAAAAAGACGATCGCCGCGTCGCGCGCTTTCGGATGCGCTTCTGCGGCCCGCTGGAACGCGCTTCCTTCCGACGCCGGGAAGCCACTGGGAGCTACGTTCTTTTAAACCGTCGTCTAGACTGACAAACCCGTTTCTTTGGCACGGTTGGCTACGTACGGTGCGAAAGAAGTTCAGCGTGCACGCGTGCCGCCGCTGGCGAGCGGGGAAGGCAGCAGCCGCGCGATGGGCCTGCGCCGACCGTGCCTTTACGCATGGTCGGCCAATTCCCCGCTTGCGTGTTTGGAGGGAGGGAAAACAGAGGGCCCAGGGGAATATCCCGTGTGTGCGATGGGGGGGGGGGGGGGGCTCTCAATAGGGGCCGCACAGATGGATTCACGAAATGCCGCCGCCGCGCCTCCATCTCCCCGCGCACCCTCGCGGGTTTGGCCACACCACGGTTCTCTGCTGCGATCCGCCAACCCTTTGCCTCGCCGAGCACCGGATTACCAGATTACAACCGCAGGGGGTGGCATGGCTACTTATAATACCCCATGCGCTCTTGACTGCCCAGTGCTGATATTCGCACAATAAGCCAAGCACTCATTTTAGGCTGCGTCAACCTAGAGAAAACCCAGGATCGGCTGAAATGTCACCTATTTTTTTTCAGGCCACAGTGTTATTGATGAATGTGTTGTGGTTTTTGTGATTCGTATCCTGAAAAGGCAAGTACCGTTATCGAGTGGCACCTGTGAAGGCCGGCTCGGCACACGAGGGGGTGTGTGGCTAGCACCGCGCCCGACCGCCTTTGTCTCCCCAGTGGCGATGTTTTTACACCGCACCAGGGGGTACTCATTTTAGACTGAGTGGACCTAGGGGAGGCCCAGGACCGGTTCAGACAATCGTCACCGGTGTTGGTGGCCGTGAGCGGGAATCGAACTCGGGCCCGCCAGGTTCGTAGCTCGGTGCGCTCTAACCGCTGCACCACCGCTCTCCATCACACACACACACATCACGCATCAGCCCTTGGATCCCCACTAAACCAGGCCATTGTGTTCCCTCCTTCACTGATTGTATGGCTCTCACTAACCCCCCCAACCCACTCCTCCCCTCCCCACTGGACCCGGCACCCCCCAGCCCAGCACCCCCCCCAGCCTCCCAGCCAAGTGGAAATGACTCAGAAGCTCCACACGGATGGGGGCTCCCTTTGTTAAAGGTCGTCGTCATGGGAACGGGCAAAATCATTCCTACGGCGGCGGCAGAGGAGGAGGAGGCTGTTATTAGAAAGGGATTTCGCCCCCCTACCCAAGGTGGTGTGCGGAGGAATATGATGATGATTGTAATGAGTGTTATTTGTGCGTCGGATTAGGTCATGTGCCGTGAGCTGGGATAGCCGTGACGGCTATTATTTGTTTTTGGTGACCCGTGTATCATAGATCCATCGCGGGAGTGTGTCTGTGTGTGTGTGGTGTAATTATCTGAACCGGTCCTGGGCCTCCCCTAGGTCGACTGAGCCTCAAATGAGTGCCAGGTGCGGTGTGTAAATATCGCCACTGGGGGGGGAGACAAAGGCGGCCGGGCGTGGGGTGTTGGCCACCCACCCCCTCGTGTGCCGTGCCGGCCTTCTAAGGTGCTGCTCGCTAACAGCACTTGCCCCGAAAGTTTGTGAAGGCTACACGGGGGATCTTTGTCTTTGTGCATGCCAAGGGAAGCCACGCAAAACAAAAAAATCCGCGTGGACGTAAAAAGGAACGAACGAACACGCTGGTTTACATGAATAATAATAATAATAGCAAGCTGCTCTTACACCACGAGCTGCCTTTCACCACGTCTCAAGGCATCGACCGCACACGCAAAAAGAACAAAGGGTAATAAAGTAGGTGCCAAAGTGAGAGCAGGAGAGAAACGAAGCTGATTATAGAAGAAAGATCTTTCCCCAAAGCCTGATCTCCAGTGGTAGGGGTGGTACCACAATGTGGGGGGGGGGGGGGGGGCGGGGGGGCACCAGTGGAGGGTGGGGTCCCACATCCTCGTGGGGGTTAGTGGCAGGGCTGGGATCTTCTCAGCTGGTGTGGTTGGTGTTAGTGGTAGGGCTGGGATCTTCTCAGCTGGTGTGGTAGGTGTTAGTGGTAGGGCTGGGATCTTCTCAGCTGGTGTGGTTGGTGTTAGTGGTAGGGCTGGGATCTTCTCAGCTGGTGTGGTTGGTGTTAGTGGTAGGGCTGGGATCTTCTCAGCTGGTGTGGTTGGTGTTAGTGGCAGGGCTGGGATCTTCTCAGCTGGTGTGGTTGGTGTTAGTGGTAGGGCTGGGATCTTCTCAGCTGGTGTGGTAGGGGTTAGTGGTAGGGCTAGGATCTTCTCAGCTGGTGTGGTTGGTGTTAGTGGTAGGGCTCGATGTTCTCAGCTGGTGTGGTTGGTGGTAGTGGTAGGGCTGGGATCTTCTCAGCTGGTGTGGTTGGTGTTAGTGGTAGGGCTGGGATCTTCTCAGCTGGTGTGGTTGGTGTTAGTGGTAGGGCTGGGATCTTCTCAGCTGGTGTGGTTGATGTTAGTGGTAGGGCTGGGATCTTCTCAGCTGGTGTGGTTGGTGTTAGTGGTAGGGCTGGGATCTTCTCAGCTGGTGTGGTAGGGGTTAGTGGTAGGGCCGTGATCTTCTCAGCTGGTGTGGTCGGGGTTAGTGGTAGGGCTGGGATCTTCTCAGCTGGTGTGGTTGGTGTTAGTGGTAGGGCTGGGATCTTCTCAGCTGGTGTGGTTGGTGTTAGTGGTAGGGCTGGGATCTTCTCAGCTGGTGTGGTTGGTGTTAGTGGTAGGGCTGTGATCTTCTCAGCTGGTGTGGTTGACGTTAGTGCTAGGGCTGCGATCTTCTCAGCTGGTGTGGTCGGGGATAGAGGTCGAGCTAACGACAGACTCACGTTGCCAATGACCGAACTTTGCTCTCTTTCCCCAACCGCCAGCTGTGGCCTCTTCCCCCACCGTTCTCCGTTCGCCTCGTGTGCTCACGTCTCTCCGCTCTGTGCCCGCTGTGTACCTGCAGGGTGCATGCTGTGCCTGGGGGAGTCGAACTTCTTCCGGTTCAACCACCCGGCGCAGGCGATCCGTCTGCGCAGTGGACTGCAGCCCGCTGTCGCACAGGGTGAGCGGAGACCTGCCTACCGGCATCTAAATCATCACGAATACACGTGTAGCGGTACTGCACGTGATACAATAGCATCTTATTACATATCCAATTTGTTTTTTAACAGGTAAGGGCGCACTGAGCTATGTAGCCCTTTTTTCAGAAGCGACCTGGCCACGAATGATAGCTCAACGAAGTGGCTTATCATCACGTGGACATTTAGAGTGGCCAAATACTCCGAATGCGTGGACGTTGATTCTAAATGTGGAGGGAAAAACCGGAGTATATTCCACGCGACCACGGGGAGAGAGACACGCGAACTTCAAATATAAAGCAGGCATTGTCAGGGTCGGGATCGAACCCACAACCTCCTGTATACCAGGCGAGGTAATTAACCTCGCTTGGTATACAGGCTGACATGAAATTAAAGCGGGCACTTTGGAAGCGAGTGTGTTTTTGCCCATGTATGGTGTCATGGCGGCGAAGGTGGTGTGTTTCAGGACACTTTAATACACAAACGGACATCAAATAAAGCGAAAAGCAAGTACTTAGACTTTTTAATGATTTAAATGCCTGTCTAAGAGCAAGAAAGTATTTCAATCCAATAACCTTCTTCGTGAGCAAACACAAAGAAGGTTATTGGTCGCGAGAGCCTATGTGTCCAAAGTATTTAAACTTAAAAAAAATAATCTTCTTTGGTTCTTTCGGTAAAGTCATGTAGAATGAGAATAAAATAATAAATTGATAAAATAAAATAACACAATAATATTTTATCAATGTATTATTTTATTCTCATTCTACGTGACTTTACCGAAAGAACCAAAGAAGATGAATCATTGCAGTCACGAAAGCTTTAAATCGAAATTTAAAAAAATTCTGTTTAAGAGCAAGAGTTTTTTTTATTCGCGTGCCATCGGTGCGAACGAATCATTCGTGGATCGAGACGTGTCGCGTCGTGGTGAAGCGACACGCCCCCCTGATCTCCCTTCCCTCTGATTGGCTAAGACGCCGTTTTCTTTGACGCCGTTATATGGGCAAAGACACACGCCCGCTTCCAAGTGTCCGCTTTTATTTCGCGTCACAGCTTTTATCGTGTTACAACGCGGCACCTCTCCCCCTTCACTTCCCAACAGCCGTGGTGTAATTGGTGAGCAGCCCTACTGGACTTGCAATCCAGAGGTTGCCGGTCCGATTCTATCCCCCGGTGCGGCAGTTAAAACAACGGTGCAAGTTTCTTAAAACCAACCCCCCCGCCCCCGCTCGCCGCCACTGTCCGCCGTACAGTGTAAAATGGGTACAGCACAGACGATCGGCAGGGCGTAAACTACGGGTTAGGGCCCACCTCTTCCCACACTTCTGGTCAACATGAAAGAGTAGAATAGTTATCATCTAGAGTTCGCCCTGTTGGAGGTCCTTCCACGGACAGTGGCGTGCGTGCGTGCGTGTGTTCAATTTCCTTCGCGCCGTACGTAGCCGACCGTGCTAATCGGAGGTGCGGTATTAATATATCATTAGAACGATTAGAATTGCACCGTGCTCGCATGAGAATCGCACCGCGCGCTCACGTGCAAGCATGTTGGAAAACATGAGCGGCCACGTGCCTTTTAAAACCACCACGGTGTTGTAAGCGCAACGGATGCCTGTTTGTGTTCCTTGCGCCGCGGCAGATTTAAGCAACATGATGAATGGCAACCACAAGTCTAAGCCCAAGAGCCAGACTACCTCGCCCGGCGTCCTAGCGGGTACCAAAGCCAGCTCCTCGCCCGGCCGCTCCTTCGTGGGCCCTTCCACCGTCCCTCCATCGCCCGGCGCCGACTCGAGCCCCTCCCCCACCGTCCACCGGGGGCCTTCCAACGTGCCGACGTCCGCCTCCAACGCGCAGTACCAGACGAACCTCAAGCTGTACATGGGCTCGCTGGGCAAGCAGTCGCTGGCCCCCAACTCTCCCGTGACCAAGTCGGCGCCGGCGGACGCGACTCCCGGCAACTCGCGCTTCTCCTCCTCGTCCTCCTCCTCCTTCGCGACGGTCGCCACGACGACGGCCGCGACGCCGTCTCCCACGAGCCCCGGCAACATGTCGGTGGGCTCCTCCGGCTTCCGCGAGGACCCCAACAACTCCGCCTCGCCGCTCTCGACCGCCTCCCCGCTCTCGTCGCCGTCGGCGACCGGCAGCTCCAACGGCCGCTCGGACGCCGTCCCCGTGCCGGCCCCGCGGTCGTCGAGCTACACCCGCGGCGCCGCCGCGCCGCCGGCGCGAGCGTACGGCGCGAGCGGAACGGCCTTGGCCCTCGCAGGCTGCGGCGGCGACGACGAGGAGGAGGAGGAGGAGGAGGAGGAGGAGGAGGAGGAGTCGCGGTCGAGGGGCGCGCGCCACTCGGACGCGGGCGGCCGCCCGGGCGGCAGGGGCTCGCACGATGGTTACTGGAGCGAGAGCGGCCGTGACTTGGACGCGTACGGCTTGGCTGCGGCCGGAGGAGGAGGCGGAGGAGGAGGCGGAGGATCCCAGTACCTCCCGCCATCTTCCTACGACGGCGGGAGGTACGAGCGCGGCCGCAAAGAGCCGTGGGACGTCCTCTCTCCGAGCGACCGCGACGGCCGTCGGGACGCGTGGGAGGGCGGCCCCTCGTCGGACGGCGGCGGCCGGCGTGCGTGGGACCGCCGCCTGCTCGCCGGCGGTGGCGGCGACTTCGACCTGGCGTCGCTCCGCGGTGGCCCGCTGGGCTCCTCCAGCGTCGACGTGAGCCGCTTCAGCCCCGTCGGGCCGTGCCGCCAATCTTCGAGCGTCCCCTCCAGCCCTCGCCTGCCGTCCAAATTCCAGCACCAGCAGCAGCAGCAGCCTCCGACGCCGGGCCAGAGGTCCAGGGCCCTGCAGGAGTACTCCCAGAACCAGTGGCGCGAGCAGTACCTGCAGGACGCGAGCGTGCTGGCGCGCTACGGCATCGCCATGAGCGACTTTGGCGACGGGCACGCGCTCGCAAGCTACGGCGGCCGCCGTTCGCCCGCGGGGCCGGGCCGGGCGGCCGACAATTGCCGCGGCGCGAGGGAGCCCCCGCCGGCGAGCCCCTCGTCCGTCCGCCGCGCCCTCGCCTACCACTCGCCGCTCAAGCCCACGCAGTCGACGCCGGCGCTCAACTGGCTGCCCTCCTCCTCCGCCGCCGCCTACCCATCCTCCGACTCGCCGGACGTCACGGCGCCGCCGTCGGGACACTACTACCACAAGCGGACGGGCCGCGCTGGCGGCGGCGGCGGCGGCCTCGACAGCCCGCTGCTCTCCCGCCGGGCCCAGCAGGCGGGCACGTTCGAGCGGAGCCCCTCCCCCGGCTTGCCCTCCGACGCCCGCCGCGGCCGCCCCTACGACCCCGAGCCCCCGCCGGCGCCGTCCGTCCTGGGCGCCCTCCCTCCCAGGCCGAGGCCTCAGCCCCGGGCGGGCGCCGGCAGGAGCCCGAGCCCGGCGCAGGCGTACGTGCCGGCGGCGCCGCAGCCGCGGCAGAGGACGAGCTCGCTGGGCGGGCAGGGAGTGTCGCGGGCGCTCGCCAGGGCCGCGGGTGCCGCCTCCTCCGCGGGCGTCGCGCCGGCGCTGTCGCCGATGACGGGGGGGGGCTTCCGCCCGCGCAAAAACAGCATCTCGGAGATCGGCGCGGACGAGGGAGAGCTGATGGACTACCACCGGCGCCAGCGCGAAGAGCGGCTGCGCGAGCAGGAGATGGAGCGGCTGGTGAGTGCGTGAGTGCGCGGGCGCTTGGGTGGGTGCGTCGGTGAGTGGGTGGGTGGGTAGCTGGGCCAGGGAGTGCGTGCGTGAGTGGGTCGGTGGGTTGCTGGGTGGGTGGGTGTGTGGGTGTGTGGGTGAGGGGGTGGGTGTGTGCGTGGGCCAGATTAAGCAGGACTATGAAGCAAATAGAAATCTGCGCAAAAACAGCCGTGTCACAAGTGAGAAATCTAAAACATTGAGTGTAATAAATTCCCCGTAGCGCAAGTCGGCTCGGGCAGATCATTTACAGTCTGATCATAGCACGATTACAGCTAAGTAACAGAAACATTAAACAGCTACAGTGTGACGATTGTTCTAATAGTGTATGTCGAATGCAATTGCAAAGACATATTTTATAATTTTTACTTTACCAGGTAAGGCCCACTGGGTTATATAGCTCTTTTTCAGAAGCAACCTGGCCACAAATGATAGCCTAGCGAAGTTATTACGGCCAAACACTCGAAACGCTTGTTATTTATCAATGTGGAGGGAAAAACCAGAGAACCCAGAGAAAAATCCACGTGACCACGGGGAGAGAGACACGCAAACTCCAAATATACAGCAGGCGTCAACGTCGGGATCGAACCCTCAACCTCCTGTACAGCAGCCGAGGGAGTTATCATCCCGCCACCCTGGTGCCCCGGTCAGCCACAGGCAGAGGACAGGAGGAGGGTCGCCCTGATCCGGCCTTGGCCAGGGCCAGGGAGCCAACAGCGCGGACGGCCAGGAGGGGTGAGAGGGCCATTCCAGACACACGGAGGCAGCGGATGACCTCCCTCCCGTTGCACAGGCCAGCAGCGTGAGCGGTAACGCAAGCACGCAGTCACCCAGGCGTCGTGCCATGGACCCCTGGACGCGCTGATTACGTTGCTCGACAATGGACGATCGGCGTGAAAACCAAAAAAAAAGCCCCGTCCTGCCGAGCTTCCGAAATAGCCGCTTGGGGGCACTTGGGGACACGGACGATGGGGTCGCTCGGAAGTCGTCGCCGTGTGCGATGCTCCGGTGCCCGGCTCGCGTTACGGGCACCCGCGCAGGGTGGGGGCGGGGGGGGTGGTGGGCAGCGACTCGTCCCACGCGTGACCCTGTAACCGTGTGGCCCTAACAACTATGAGCCATTTTTATTTTAACCAGGTAAGGCCCACTGAGCTGTACAGATCTTTTTTTCAGAAGCGACGTGGCCACAAATGGTAGGTCGACGAAGTGTGCGTGTATGTATGTTGAACTTATTTCGCGCCGTGCGTAGTCGACGTGCCAATCGGAGGTGCGGGCGAAGGACAACAAACTTAAACACAAAAGTCAGTTTTAAAGAAATGCGTTTTCAATCTAGATTTGAAAGTGCAAAAAAAGCTCCGGACAGACGCAGAAGCACATCTGAAAGAGCGCGCGATGCGGCGGCGACGCGCACGCGCACACACACACACGTCAGTATGTGTGTACTTAGGTGTGTGTGTGTGTGCGTACGTGCGTACAGACTCGCACAGAGGGTGTGTGAGACAGCTGCTGCCCGGCCAGTATCAGCTTCGCGGGATAAATAATGCATCGGAATTGGCAGTAGGCGAGCGGATGTGCGCACGTGTCCACTCTCGCTTTCCTTGAGCTGGGATTTCTCTCCCCTCGCTCGCTCTCTCTCTCTCTCTCACCGGTGCTGTAATGTGCGATCTGTTTATTTGTGAAGGTAATGTCGCTGCGGAGAGACCGACCGGTCTGTAAGTCCGTGATTATTATTGTTGACTCGACATTCCATCACAGATCTGTTATCTACACATCCCATCAGATAGATGTTCTGACAGTCTGCTCTCCCGAGACCCCATCGTCAGAGACCGGTCTGTCTGGCTATTCTCAAAATTTCAGCTTCTAGCCCAATTAGAACACCATGACATTGTACATCGGTGAGTCAGGCCGGCCAGCCACGATGCTCTACAAAAACAAACACCGAGACCACAGAGCGTGACACAAACACCGCGGCTTCCGATTCCGGGAGAGAGAGAGAGCGCAGAGCTGCGTGCAGTATTCCGGCTCGGATGTCCCCAACCGGGGGGTGGGTGGCTCGCGTAGTCTGCCCCCGTCCCTGGCGTGCCGCTTCTGCCCGACCCCCCCCCCACCCACCCCCCCCCTCTCCCTCCTTCGATTCGCGAGCACCGCTCCGACGCTCCGACGCTCCACGGCTCCACGGCTCGCCGCGTCGAGCGACGACAACTCCTGTACACCAAGCGAGCGAGCGAGCGAGCGTCGGTCAGCGCTCGTTTCTGTTGGCCGCTGGCGGAAATTCCACGTTCCTATGGAGGGAGCTGAGGCTAAGCGCCCCCCCGGTACAGGAGTTAACTCGGCTGTGGAATATTCCGCGCGTGTTCTCTGTAAATCCGCTGCTGGATGGGAGCGTTCCGACGCCGCGTGGGTCATGGGAGGTGAGTTGACCACGTAAGAATGGGTTTTACCCTTTCTGGCAGTAAAACAGTTGTGTTAACATGTTAAAACGCCAAACAGAAACCTTTTCCCAAGGAATCGTGTCTGCATTAACCACACGTACTTGTGGTGAACGTGCAAACAAAACAACACCATGCTCTGGCAGTATATGATGATGCATTGTCCTTGAAACTGATTGGGTCCACACCAGAGACGGCTTTCTTTAGAGCCTAGACTCACTAACAGTGTTAGACCAGAGGACGCGAAAAAGGCGAATAGCATTTTGTCTGTCCGGCTGGCAAGGGAGGTCCCGTGACGTGTTTGACCATACTTCACCACGCTGGTCACTGTGGCATGCTGTGGAGGCAGGGAAGCGTAGATTTGGGAAGGAATAGAAGTGCAGTACAACGGTGGATTTGTGCGATCTCTGCTGCCGGCGGTCGTGGCACACGATGAGCTGGCGCGACCACCGGGGGGGGGGGGGAGGGGCCCCCTTGCGCCGCACAGCGAATGGTCGCGCCTCTAGTGGCTGCAGGCCTCACTCAAATAAATTATGTCCACAACATAGAAATCAATCATCATTATTTACAGCCCTGTTTCACGCCACCGGATGAACGCCTCCCATCGCCACGTCGATCACCTGAGTTGTTTTGACCATGCTTCGCCATTCTGGTCAGTGCGGGTTGGTGAAGTTGGTTGGGGCGGGGTGTGTAGGACCAGTTCAAATATCGCTCGCCACCGACGTCGGCCGTGGTCGGGAATCGAACCCGGGCAGCCTGCCGCGGTCATGGCATGGCACGCTGATCACTGCGCCACCGCTCCGCCCCGTACGAATCGACAAACACCGGTGCTCGCTCGCGCGATCCGATCGATGATCCGTGAGCTCGGTGAATCGATATCAATTGTCAAAAGCCGTGCATCCTAAGGCCCGTTGCTGGGTACCCGGAGTCATCAGCGTGTGGATTAAACACCCCGGCCAGTGTAAATTACTTTAGATGCATCCTCCCACCCCCCCCCCCCCCCCCCCCCGGGTAGGAGCGGGTAAGCGCAGAGGGTCGCTCGATGCGCCGCTAACCTGGAAAGCCGAGGTCAAGTCCGGGCCTCAACAACCCCATCACTGAGCAGCCTGTTGAAGTTTGGTCAAATGACCGGCACCGCAATCGGGCATGAAGTTTATTTCGTTTAACCGGGCGAGAACTCAAAGAGAGCGGGGCAGTCTCATGCGCAAGAGTGACCTGGGAGGCCTTCATCCAGCAGTGGAGAAACAAAGTACTGCGGGGATTGCAACAGAGTTAAATTGACTATTTTTATTTTAACGAGGTAAGGCCCACTGAGTTATGTAGCTCTTTTTCAGAAGCGAGCTGGCCATCACAAATTATAGGTCAACGAAGCGGCTTACCGTCGTGTGGAAATGTACAGCAGCCAAATACTCTGAACGTGGAGAGAACAACCGGAGGGCCTGGAGAAAAATCCAAGCGACCACGGGAAGAGAGAGAGAGAGACACGCAAACTCCAAATATACAGTGGCAGGCATCGTCAGGGTCGGGATCGAACCCACGACCTCCCGTACAGCAGGCGAGGTAGTCAACATCTCCTAGCCAACGTGGTGATGACAATGATGAGAGAGAGAGAGACACGCAAACTCCAAATATACAGCAGCAGCAGGTATCGTCAGGGTCGGGATCGAACCCACGACCTCCTGTACACCAGGCGAGGTAGTTAACATCTCCTAGCCAACGTGGTGATAACAATGATGAGAGAGAGAGAGACATGCAAACTCCAAATATACAGCAGGCATCGTCAGGGTCGGGATCGAACCCACGACCTCCTGCATACCGTGCGAGGTAGTCAACATCTCCTCGCCACCGCGGCTCCCTTTTTAATGAATTAATACGACGCGACACATCCTCCTTCTAATTGGCGTCCGAGTTGATCTCTGCCACTTTCCTGGAAAACTCCCCGGGGTGCGTGCGGACACCCGGCCCCGTCGGTTTAACTTTTCACCTTCTCCTCTTTAATTATTCCCCCTTGTTTATTTTCCCCCCTCTCGGACGGACCCTCCTGGCATGCCTCCCAACCCCGGCGCTCAAGTTTCCCCCTCCGTGGCCCTGGGCTCACAGAGCTAGAGAGCAGCTGTCTTACCCCCCCCCCCCACGTCTTACCAAGCCCCCCCTCACCCCACCAAGATCCCTGCTCCCCCCCACCTCCTCCACCCACCCCGCTGCACACAGCCCCTGTGAATAAAAGACACTCTGCAACTCGGGAAGCGTGCAGCAAACAACTCGCAGGGTCGTCCGCCCCCCTCCGAGCTGCCAGCCGTCCCCCTTCGCCTGACGACTTCCCCTCGAGCAACGGACCTTCTTCTTCTTCTTCCTCTCCTCTTCTTCCTCTTCTTCTTCTTCTTCTTCGACGACGACGCGGAGTCGCGGCGGTGGCCGTCGTTTCCGCCGTCGTCGTTACTTTCTTTCCCTTCCCCAAACGGCCCCGGTGCCCCCCCTACATGGGCGCGTTCGCCTGGAACGTCACCGTGTCGGCCGCGCGGAAGCTCAACCCGTGCAGCT